CAACATTTTGAGGTAGTTATTTTGATCATGCATTTAGTTTGACATTTCTACCTTCTTAAGTCTTTGCTGTCGGGCCATTTCCATTCACAGTCACAGATTTGTTTGCTCTTATGACCCTTTTTATCAACCACAAAGGCCAATTCTTTCCAGTCTACAGCTGAGAGGTTCCAGTTAAAACCCATTATTACGTCAGATGAACTATTAATTTCTAAAATAGCCTTTTATATCTCCTACATTATATTCCATCTCATTCCTTGGGAATTTTTAATTTGCATTTTTTATGACTGTGGAACATGGAGAAACTGTGTCTGTGAATTGTTTATTGAGAACTCTTTTTAGAGCACGTTAATTTAGAATCCAGTGAGATATATTAATAGCATACCCTCCAATGTCATGTTAAAATTAATCTGTCTTTCTGATGCTCGTTCATTCATGCTGCCTCATTTATGTCTCCCTGATGATTCTTTTTCTTTGTTAATGAACCTAAAGTGATTTTGTGCCACCATCAAATCTGCCACCTGCCAGCTCATCTCAGCACCTCTGTAGTCTTGGCTGGAGTCTAACTGTTAACCAGTGCTATCTTTTTGGCATGAAAACCTGAATATTTATCCTCACCCTCATTTTCTCGTAGCTAGTTTCTGCTCTGTGGCAATACTCTTCCGTCGTGTTGGGAACACTGCTGGGTTTACATACAGTTGTACAACCCAACTGAAGGACTCCATAGATCAAACCAGCTTTTTTTTCCCCTTTATGGCACTGTTATGGTGCAGGTTGGCTTGCTATCTTGTAAGAGTGCTTTGCTAGTGTCAAAAAGTAACACCAGCCAAGCACTGCCACCGTGGATGGCTGTACCAGCAATGGGATGTTTGTATGCCTCAACAGCAAGAGCCACCACCCAGACACAAAACGAACACTTTGACCAGCACCCACACCGGGATGAATGCAGCACAGAAGAGCTGCACGTGACAACTCTAACCAGCACGACTATCACCACCACGTTCTGAAGTACAGCCTCAGCCAAAATATTACTTTAATGTTTGATGGTAAATTTGAACTGTCAGGTTCAACTGTAAGCTGCAGCTGTTTTTATCCCCAAATGTAATAGTATCACCACATGGGTACCTTCCACTTAAAAGGGATACCTACAGAAATGGAATATAAAGCGACTGGTCAGAAGCCCATTACCACCAACTTCTCTCAAGAGATTACTCTGAGAGCACAGACTGATCAAGGCATCCCAGCTAGGAAGATTCACCTTCATGCTCAGCTTTAAGCGTATGACTGCACTCGGCAACTGCAGGAAGTCGGTACAGCTGGGCAGCTGTGATCTAGAAAGCTCTGTATTTTAGTCAACCTTAACGCACATTTTCCATATAAAGAAAAAACTCCAGAAGTCATTTTAATATAAAATGTTTTTATTGTTTTCGAAAACATTTAAAAAACAATTTTTGAGCACTTTCAATAAAAAAAAATAACTGAAATGCTACTGCAATATTCAACTACTGTAGTTTCAGCAGTACAACAGACAACAAAACACTGGGGAGGAGGGGAGAAACTGGATTTCCTGCACTAAATGAAAACGTGGAACAGGGATTTTTTCTTTCCTTATGGTGCAGTAAATAAAGCACAGTATAGTACAAGACTATTATATGAACCTCAGATGCACTGCACAAGAAACAGTTTCCTTCTTTTCAGTTCAGAAGTCAGTGCTTATTGCAATTATTTGCAAATTATTTACTTCATGAATTCTTATCATGATAAAATGATGCAAAAATGTTTTTCAACACCAGAACAATAAAAAATAATCCAAGAAAGGAACATATTCAACAATAACTAAGCTGAATTAGTTAACATAAAAAAGTAAATAACTTGTGAATAACTATGCTCACCTGGTTAACACTGAACCAGTTTCAATACAGCAAAAGAATAAAAAAAATAAAAGTGGTTACAGGAATATATCTAGTACTGTACAAGATTAAGTCATTAACACTCATGCACGTTTTGTGATCATGTATTAACATGGTGAAGCAAACTAAATTTAATTTTTCCTGCTGTAATATTCTCATGTAAGAGAATAAGAAATAGAAATATCTCATTGAGATCAATGCACATTGCTACATAAGACAATTTCACCTGTCACTTTTAATGACATTTTGCCTTTTAATAATGAAACACATTAAAAAGGGGGGGTTTTTTTGTTTTGCTTTTTCTTTTTTTAATCTGTGGGCTGTATTTGTTGCATTTATCCTAAGGAATGTGCCTGCCACAGGTTCAACAGAATTTTAGTGCAATATATGAACCCAGAAAGTTTGCTGGACTAACCAACCAACCAAATTTAAAGTGTTTGCTGCAAGACTGTACACAGGGTACAAATTCACTAGTTTGTATACTTTAGCAAAAACTGCTATCAAAATAATTTATTTCTCATGTTAGTAGGAAGCCAATAATGTAAACAAGGGGTCAGAACTGTCTCAAATTCTTAGTTTTGGAGTATCTGACACAGACAGGCTTCCATGTGTTAGAATCACAGAATTTTCCTTTGGGTATTGCATACTTTGGTGTGCAGTAGTGCTCTGTCTCAATGTATAGTAAAGAACTAACTAGCACTAAGTACAGGGACCTAACATTATTAATTATAACACCAACACACAAACACCTCTAAAATAATACATACCAACGTACAAAGCTGTGCCTGTGCCTTGGATTTTACTTGAAACAATCCTTATCAAATTTAACACTTCTTAAATTAAACATATATTTGCTTTAAATCCACTGATTATAGAATATTTCCGCTAATTAAGTCACATGTTAGGCCCAATGTAATGCTTGTATTTAAAAATAATTTTAAACACATTTTTAAAAACCTTTGGTGACGGCTGCATAATTTAGAACGCATCAGCTTTACATCTACTCTTGCTTTTCTGAGAAATGCTCTTAAAAAACTAGTGGAGTTAGGCAAAATCTTATTTCCCCCAAGCCCACGTCAGTCTTGGTCTTAGCGACCTGGAGGTGAGGCCAGCACGTCATGCAAACGCACGGGCCGCTGCAGCACCTGTGCAGCTTCTCCCCGCAGCACCGGCGCTCGCGTCCTCCCCCATCACTCTCCATTGGAAGGTAGGTTTCACCTATTCACAGTAGTGCTGGCACTTCACACAGGGTCGGGGGCAGGGGGGGAGCGGGGAAGAGGTGCTGAGTGTCTCTCAGACCCAGTGAAACCAAGAAGGTACGAGGATGTTCAGCACATTTCTGGCAAAAGGCCACAGGCAGGTACAGAACAAGCCCTGCCTTCTAAAGAGCAACTTTAGTCTACAAGAAAAATGGTTCAAGCCTTACTGACAGACACCTGACAAGATAACAAGCAGAAGGCTACCATACAGTTTTTAGTCTCCTCCCCATCTCCTTCACAAAACTTAAAAGGGTCACTTGGTCTTAAACGAAGCAAACCACACCATTGCACATCCATGTGCTTCAAGGAGGGATCTGAACTTTCCAAGCTTGTTCCTGATGAAGCGGCAAAACTTCTGATACAAGCACAGTGAAATCAGGCCCCCATAAGGTGCTATAACTTGGCACAACTGTTTGTCCCTGCAGAAGAGGCCACAGACTGGTGATGAACTGGGGCAAGAGCAAGAGAAGCCATGATACACCAGCAACGCCAGTGCCAATGCAGCAGCACAAGTTGAATCAGCACCGCCAAAAAAATTGACCAGTACTGGGATGTCAAGTAATTAGCAAAAATTGAAGAAACAGAAGACCACCAAGACACTTAAACAAAAAACACTAATCACCCGAAAAATCTGAGCATCTTCCCCTTATGTAAATCTAGGGGGGCTTATTGTGCCTCCCCCTTCATAAATTCATGACTGCTCATTCAAGTAAGTAATGCAAGAGAGGAAAATGTTTTCTGCTCTGTTTTCTGTTTTGTAAGTGTCAGTTCACAGGAGAAATAATCAATTGTATACTAAGCTTAAGAGATGGTACTGTAGCATCCTCAGTACACCACTTCTTGTGTAAAAGCTTGCCTCCGCAAGTCCTTTTTCTAGCATCAGGGCCATGGCTGGGTAAGTACCTCTCTCTTTTCACCATGACAGAGATCCATGTCATGCTGATAAAACAAAAGGTCTTTTTTGGTTCAAGTGAACTAGTGAGACAGAAGTCTAAATCTCATTTTCCAGAGGGGCAGCTAAGGACTTCTGAGAAGAATTAGATTCAGCAGTCCTGTCAAATCACTTACAAAACTGGAATTCAGGCTTCTAAAGCAGTAAGTACTTTTAAAAGAAGTTTTACCAAAAGAAAGATCACGTCTTACTGTGTATCTGTAAAGTGCCTGGCAGTATTATGGCTCTGTATGAAATATTTTTAGACCAACCACATTTTCTAATATTTTAATCATCTTTTGTTTGAGAGAAAGAGAGCGAGCAAGAAAGACAGAAAGGCTCAACCTACTGAAACACAGAGAAAATAACATCTTCCTACAACCTCCACTAGGTTAGGAAAGAGCAAACATAAAAAAAAGAATCTTTAAAAATAGTATTTTAATGAGCTCCAGCAGCTCTTTTATTTAAAAAAAAGAGGGGAAATATCACGTTCCTTCTCTAGCATTGATAAATAATTAAACAGTACCTATCACTTTAAAATAGGGTGTTAAGACTAGATTAAATCTCAGTGCTCAAAAAATCTTTTCGCATGAATTTTACCTAATATAAAAACATTGAAGTGAGAACTAAAATATCAAGTATGTCATGAATATTAATGGATAAAATAACTACATAGATTTATTTCTCTTAAATAAAAAAATTAGTGCATCCTTCTTTTTCCTTGATCATTCCTGTTAGTTTTTCCTATCTCTGTGTTTTACTAGAGATGTCAATGGCACCAGTGCTACAGAGATTTCCCACAGTTCACCACTGAGCAGCACTCAAGACAGCTACACAATGATCAGGCACCTGCATGTCACCTGGTTCACTTGTACCCACTCCCCACCACCTACCTATCTGCATTTCAGACCTGAACAACAAAGGTCAGTAAGGATCATCTACTAAGACGTAACAAGCAATACAAAGTATGGAAAGCCTACTAACGAGCTCAACTTAAAACCCTCCCAAAGCCTCAACCATAGCTGTCACTGCTGGCTGGCTATTAACAACTTCTTTATTTGCTACAATAAGAAATGTTGAATGGGAAACTCTATAAAATTCAAATTTTAATACTGGCTCTTCGATAGCCCATCACCTTCAGAGATTTGTTTAAAATTGTTAAGACTGCCTTTTCCCTGCTGAAGAACGAGCAACGGGTACAGCAAACTTTTTAAAAAATGCCACAATACATAGCAAGTGTTTCTGCTGCGGGAGGCACTTCCATTAAGACAAATACAATACGTCTGTCTTTTAGATACAGTGTGCTACATACATATTATAAAACAAGATTAACCCAACATTTCAACAGCAGGATGATCCTTACTCTCCATCCACTCAAAACCTGATGTAGTCATTGAGTTAATGGATTCATTGCAGATTTGTTGAAACAAGGGGTCATTTTTTAATTCCTCCAGTGTAGCATCATCATCTTGTCCCTGCTGACGGCCTGGATCAAACAGTAGATTTGTGTCTAAAGTGTTCAGATCGTTAATGCTGCCTGAGAGCTCGGAAGACAACCTGATGTCGCTGGGAAAGACAGATGCAACGTTATTGAGATCTGATGCCACCTGATTCACCAGCTGCTGGTTTGTTGGCAGACTGTCCTCCCCTAAAAGGTCTTTTACAGTGCTGCTAAAATCTAATTGCTGCTCTCCGATGTCTGATTGTGCTTGGTTATCTCCAGAAGAAAAACTGATCTGATCGGTGCTGCTGTTTTTTGTGAGGTAATTTGGTGTTTGGAATTCATAAACTGAAGTGCTGGAATTGATCATATTTTGTGGGTTGGCACTAGGAAAAGCGGCGGATGTCTCTAAAATCTGAGTGAGATTCATCCTGGCTGTGTAATTTGAGGGCATGTTGTTCACTCCCAAACCTCTCACTGCATCATCGCTATCAGAATCAAGTTTGTTTAACAACACGTTGGTTATTTTTTTAGTGTTTGTTTGTTTCTGAAGAGACGGGAAGGCCGTCTGCATCATCACAGTCAACGGGACTGACTGGCTTCTTTGCGCTATGTTATTGGCACTGGTGTCTGCATGGATATTAGCAAATACATTGTGAACCTCAGGAGTCACCGGACTTCCAAAAGGTGTCAGGTTAGAGCGTGGTATATTTGAAACAGGGTAAACAGTGCTTCCACTGAGATTACGCTGGCGATGGACAGCAGGGCTCACGCTCCGGCATCTCAGACTGTTGTTGAGAGAGGAACCTGTTCCTTTGTTGTCCAAAGGAGCAGGAACAGCAAAGCCCTCTTGCTTGGTGGTGCTACTGACAGGGGCTGCCTGGTGCTGCACAGGTGAAACAGGAGTCACGCGACCGAAGTGAGTATCATGGTGGCGCGGCTGAGATTGGTATGACTGGCCAGGAACAGCAAAAGCGTGAGGTTTCCTGAAGCGGTCTTCCACCAGCTCCTGATAGCTCGTAAGGATGCCATGGTTTGCAACCGACGAATTGCTAACACCACTGTAGCCATTATTCATCCACTCAAGCTTGGTTTTGTCGGGATGAGTAGCCATAGGCCGCTGCATTGGCTTCACGGGACTGCTTGATATAATGCTGGCATCATGGTAAGCCATACTAGAGCTGATGGGAGTAAATGCAAACGGGTTTCGACACTCCACAGGACTTGGAGGGACACTGCTGCTGCAGTTCGAATGCGGTGTGCCGATGGGTGTATGCCGGCTGCTTCCTAGAGCACTGTCTACGGGAGTCGTCTGAGCCAGCCTTGAACAAGGGCTCTCTCGGGACATGTTCTGAGATCCAGCGATCATTTCGGAGGTGGGTGTTGGAGTCGGGGTCGGGGTGGGAGTTGGGGTAGGGGTGGGGGTGGGAGTGTGAATCGGAGTGCTGTTGTTATGGATTGAATGGTAAAAGTGCGCGCTGCTGGGATGAGATGACACAGGAGCTCCTTGAGCTGCAGTCTGACTCTGAAGTGCCATTCCTAGACAACCACCATAAGGATGAGAATTATTCATAGACATTTGCTCCTCCATGAGCACCAGCTCCTCCACAATGCTGTCCTGGGTAAGGTCATCATCAAAAGAAAAGAAGTTTTCATTTGACTGAGGGACTGTATGTTCAAACTCTTTCAGCTCAGACTGCAGAGGTAACTGATTTGAAGACTGTGCTTGTATTTGACCCAAGGAGGAGTCCTGGATCTGGTTCTGTAACTGCTGGCTGTATGCATCCTGCTGTATACCTTCGCAGTGCACTGGCTCCCATGCCGACTCCTGTAAGTCACTAGAGCCAGAGTGCCCTGCAACAGTCATAACACTGATATCTTGCTGCTGTTCACAATTCACAGATGCAAAGTCGGAGGTTTTGGTGATATGGTGCCACATATTTGGGTTAAAGCTGCCATCAGATTTTGAATCATTTTCTATGATAAACATGTTTCCTTCCAATTTTACTTTTATATCTGGAGATGATGCTGATGCAAGCTGCTGTCCTAAAGTAGAATCACTGGTATTTAAATTGGTGCTCAAAGAAAGGTCTGTTGCTAAGTTTGCCGCAGCTGCAGAAGGTACAGGTACCTTCACAGGTACCTTACTGGGAACTTGAGCAAGTGTTGCTGTATTGTCACTGTTAGCTAATGATCCAACCTTTGGAGACTTCTTAACACTGTTTGCTTTTTGACCCTCCACAGCATTACCAGCTGAAAGCTGCTCCACCAGTGGTTTCTTTACAGGTGGTACCTGGGAATCCTGAAGTGTAGAAGGTTGTCGCTTTCTTGGACTTTTAGCGCATGTTTTGTCTTTAATCGTAGACTCACCAGTAGGAGGTGAACCGATGCTGGTGCTGGACAAGTTTTGACTGGCAACGGAAAGCTTTAGAATGCTTTGATTATTGCCTGCTGAAGAAACTGGTGTGATCTCATTAGATTGTGTTTTATATTTGGTCCCTGCTTCTTCAGCTCCCTGATCACAGCCCTTAACTGGTTTTGTCTCCACGACATCATCAACTGAAAGCTTCAAGGTTGCAACCTCAAAATTAATTAGTTGAGCAGGAGGCAGGTCAGGGGTTGCCTTTATGGATTTAGACACGTCAGAGCTCTCTTGGCCCTGTACTGAGTTCTCATCCAGCAATGCTTCTGGTTCCATTTTGATCTTGACTGCAGGCGCAGCTACAACAGTGTTAGGCTTGGATCCTGGAGACTGAAGTGAAACAACAGATCCATTTTTGATCTGTGGACCAGTCCTCCCTTCTTCCACTGCTCCTGCACTACTGCTAACTGAAGGCGTCTGTTTGACGGGCACACTACTGCTGCTTGGGGCAAGAGATATTGCTGTCATTTTTACCACATTTAAGGAATTCACATGTGGAGCTGGCACTACAGTCTTGATTGGGCTACTGGTAAAGAGCACCGTCGTGGGAGAGCGGATGGTGAGAGCACTGGTATTTGCTGGCTTCGGTAAGATCTGCGGGTAGCGATGCCGGGCAGAGCGGTCACCAACTGGGCTGGCGGGAATGTTCTGGGGAGTCTTTGGTGACTGCTTGACTGATTGCATGTGCTGAGTGACCACCTGAACATTGAGCGGCAGGACCTTGCTATCAGACGATCCCATAGGACTTGGGGACGTCACCAACTGCCTGGTCCTTGGCACCTGTAGAGAAAGAAAAAGAAAAGGTGTGGCGATGAAGCAAGGAAGTCCCCAACACCCACAGACCACCTCATCCCCAAGCATTTCAAAGGTGAAGGACAACATAGCTCAATACACCAAAGCTCGTGATTGTCAGTTTGAAACAAAACAAGCTCTCCAACTATATACAAGATAATTTCTATTTGTCTGCCCTAAGGATTGGTAGACAGGTATGTGGCCTCAATTTTTAAGGCATGAGGCACTGGTCTACATACTAGTCTGCTCTTCTGCTAATGAACGGGTCATTCTCATACAATCCTTCACATGGAACAAAGAGACAGACATACAAAGGTTAAAGAGGAGAGGATGTGTTCAAAACACTGCTCACTGTTAAGGTTTCAAAAGCGAGTTAAATACAAACCCAATATCAGGCAGAAAAATTGGCTTACCTATTAAAATCGACAACACAACTAACATCTTAAAAACAAATAACCTTCCCCCTGCCGCCCAGTTTTGTATGGCTGAAAGACAAAGATGTTCCATACTACAGACGTTCATGCAAAAATAAAATTTTTGTTGTCACTAAATGCGCCAGGCCAATGAAAGGCAATTTAGATTCCAGATTAGGGCCTCAGCGACCCACACAACTGGCGTCAGCTCTCTCGTCTGGTTAAACTTCATCTCAAGGGCAATTACTCCCACATATAACCTTAATTATTGCTAGCTGAAATTCCACTGTCAACGACTTGAAAGAGGAACTTGGCCTATGCTATGTGATCAGAATTCTGCCTCTGTATCGATCTCGTAACCCGTGGTATAACACAATCATTGGGACAGAAAAGCATCAAGGGACCCAAGCCGCTGAAAGGAAACCGTTTTTCTATCCCACTGACACCACTGCTTAGTTACTGGCAATTTACAACCCTTTCATAAGGTGGTTTCTGTAGAAAATTGCTGGAGAACATTACCGGTATCGGGCTGGGGACAGCTGCCACAACAATGCCAATAGGCGGAGGAGACAGAATTGCAGGACTTCCATTAGATATACCAGTCACGCCGTTGGTTGTGGTGCCTTCTGTTTTCTTTGCTGGAGACTCTCCTGGCAAAGGAGACTGCAGTTTCTGTTCTTGCTGCTTCTTCTGGATCTTACGCTGCAGCTGCTGCTTGGCATCAACAGGAGATGGCAGAGTTTTCACTTGCGGTTGAAAGGAATTACTTTCAGCAGTAGGTATAAAAGCTGAGGGCTGGGGGATCCCTTTTACTCCTGAACACAAAAGAAGAATAATGAATTATAACCATATATACCATGTCTGCTGTAGTGCCACTTCTGTATCTAACCACACAGAATACAGGGCAGGCATCTCCACAACCATTCTGGGAACACCCCCTCCATGACGTACTCCCATCCACTTCATGCTCAAATCTATTCAGTGTTTCAGTTTATTTCCACATTTGTGGCAAAACGTCTATCTGTTAGACAAGCTGAGCATTAGCTGCTAAAATATTATGTACTGGCATCTTGTTTCTAGCAATCCCAAACACCAACTTTTGTGTCAGCAAAATCTAAAAACCAATGCATTTCATTTAACTGACAGTAGAGGGCAGCAGATATGTTTTAGATGAACCTTGAAAATTCAGCAACCTATTATGTTTTTGTTTTGTTATCAATGTCTAAGGCACCTTTAAAAAATGAAAAATCTTTCCAGAAAGCTGTGGGTCTGTGTCACAGAGGAGCAGCTCTGAGCAGATTATATTATCTAATGGCCAAGGCATTAAACACAATACATATTAATATCAGAATGGATCACAACCTGTGTGATCAGGGATAATGGTGAAAGAAGGGCAAAAGAAGTGTCCAGGGAAAAAAGAAAAAAAAGAAGGAAAAGGTGAAAAAACTATGGAAATTAGAATGGGAGAACATTTTTTCTAGAGACAATGCCTTTGCTGATCACAAGCAAGCAAGTGGTGCTTCCAGGGAGAACAGGGAGTTAGTCTCATCCGTGCAGCTGGTACCAATTCCCCTTATAAAATCACATCACATTTATGATCTTTTGTTTATTAACAGTCAAGAGGATTAGTATGTTCTCTCAGTGACCAACTAATCCTGTTGAACTGCCCCTCTAAAAATGCTTTAACACCATTTCATTTACACTTCGCAGGTTTCAGAGTTTTTAAAAAACCTCTTAACTATAAATTAATCTACACCATTTTAGGGCAAGTATTTGGTTTTAGGTACCCAGTACATGCTTAGGAACTGTGGTCTGGGAGCCCACCCTCTCAGCAGCATGTACCATGAGAGCTTGAACAAAGCAACATGTCTCCACTTTTCACAATTCCTTCTTCACAGAGCAGTGAAATGCCCAAATATATTGCAATTACTGGAAAACAAGTAATCTATGTGGGTTGAATACTGAAGGCAAGGAACATTTACGAGAAAATAACTCAACAATTTTTTCCTTGAGGGTAGAAGTTTGCTTTCTCCTCAGTTAATGCACAGAGACACTAGTTTTTTGCGATAAAGAGGAATGGGAATATTTTACTTGCCATTCTAGAAAGAACCTCTCCTGAAATGACTATCCAAGCCACAGAGGCATGCATTGGAAATAACTGCCCTTTTCCTTGAAGGAAACCATCTTCTCTTGAAGGAAGTAAGGGGGAGAAGCTACATGAGTTGAAGAGCTGTACATATACCTAGCGTTCCTTATAGCAGCATGGCAAGCAGAACCAATGAAGCCAAGCAATGACAGGTAAAAAAGGAGCATACAGGCAGCAAAACCTGCCACTGCCACCCGTCAGTTCCAAGTTGCAATAAAGGAAAGAGAGCTGGAAGGAGAAAGAATGTGATCCAGAAGGGGATCACCCCAACCTACAGCCCTGACCACCAGTTTCTATTTGAAATTACCTGTCTCAAGTCAAGAGATTTGCCTTGATCCAAACACATTTTGCTTGACAGGCCTGCGCAGAACTTCCCAGAGGGAAGTCTGGGGGGCATGTTGTGCACCTGCACTTCCCTCCTCGTCCTTGATTTTTGTAATTTACTTCATCCACAGCCACAAAAAAACACTTTAAATGATTAAGTGACTATTTTGAGCATGAAGAGGGAAACAAAGGACACAAAAGTAGATGTACAAACAACCACATCGAATGTAAGCTTTCCCACAGACTGAATAGAACAGGAATTCATCTGATGTAGCAAAATACAAAATAACTCTTCTCTTTACCTCGATCGTTAATGAAGATTTGAAATCGAGTGCTGGAATCTCAGTCACACAACTGCCCCTCAAGCTCTCCTTGAAGAGAGCTCTCCTATCCCTCTGAATGCCCCTCAAGCCCTTATTTCTAATGTGATCAATAACAACAGCACTGATGTGCTTGTACTACCTGACGCTGATCAAACATCTCAGGAAAATTTGCATCTGACATATCAGAAACGCCTGTAAGAAAATCTGCTCTTGAGAGAAAATTAAGACAGACAATTGTTTCCAAATTAGTGCAAGTTATCAGACAGAAATACAGTTACATCAGCAGCCTGTCTACAAACCAGCACTGTACCAGCATCAAACTCCTGATCTAGCAAAGTACACAAATTCAGCACAATTACTCACATGCCCTGAAGTGCTTTAAAAGACCAGGGTCCTCATCGGAGGAATGGGAGAATCACAAACTAAACCTGAGACCACTGCTTATTTTCAGATCTCTTTATCCAGACTACCAGCAAGAAAAGTAATTTGCAGCAATGTGGACTAAAATCACGTAAACGCACACTCAACGCTCAGAGTCAGTGTTTAAAGTTCGCCCTGAAGAGAAGTGCTTCCTCAAACCAAGATGTTATTACTCTTTAAAAGATCCCCTATTTCATCCATTCAGCATTAAGTTCTCTCATTACCTGCTGGTGCCCCTGCCATTACTGTTAAAGCTGCCATTGACTTGGTACCGATATAGTGACTTTTTACAAGGAAACGAGCCAATTCCAAGACTGTATCAAAAGGCTGGCTCAGCACTTTCTGGGCCCATTCACAAACAAGCCGGCAGGCCGCAGAGACAACTTCCTCATCAGCACTTTGCAGCTGCCCAGACGGCTCTGCCCCATCCAACTAAAACAAACAAACAAAGGAGGAAAGGTTACTTTAATTATTAAGGGTCATTAAGGCATGAAAACAAAAACAGAGAGCAAATGATGATCAGAAACACACAAAAAGTTTAGTATTATGTTCACAGTTTTTCATGAAATTGGGAGAATGAGATCACATCATCAGTATCATTCAAAATGAAATGTCTTAACGTTAATCTACTGGTTGCTTCCAAAGGCATTATATGGAGCTGACATTTCTGGAAGAAAAATCGCAGAGTGAATCCTAATATCTGGGCCACCAACAACTGATGCTCCCTGCATCCGGAGTCTTGTCAACTCTGCAGCCACTGTTACCCAGGAACTGCTTCTTTCACTGGGGTTCCTCTTCCCTAGCATTGACTTTTTTTTTAAAAAAAAAAAATACAGTAAACCCAAAACAGAATCAGAGATAAAAAGATACAGCTTGTGGGTGGCAACACTGTGAAAGTCTGCTTCACCTCCTAAATTAGTTTTTTTAATAGCACTGCAATTCGTTCTGAGCTTTACAGAAAAACATCAAACAATGATTCAGAGTATAAGTATTGTAAAGAAAAATCTTAAAAACTACACAGCTCTTCACTTCGTTTTGAAAACTACAGACAGAAAAACAACATAATAAATGTTAATTTGCAGAAATGTATATAAATAAGCAAGTATATATCATACCCCATCTCCAGTTTTATGAAAGTCAAGGTTGGGCAGTGTTGGCATATGTACAAAAGCCTTCTTCCTCAGTCCACTGTAGCAATATGTGAACAAGAATTAAGGTCTAAACCATCTCTGCTTGTTTGTTGGGGGATAGAAGGGAAGGGCAGTAATTCCTCTGATAGCCCCTCATAAGCTTTATTAGCAAACTCAACAACATATCTAAGAATTACTGTCATTAACATAGCCTCATAGCCAGCCAGAATCAAAAGCCTGTAAGTGGCCGTGTTCTTGGGCAGGTCGTTGGGCTTCTCCGTCTATGCAGAGGAGCAAATGATGCTGAATTTCATTTGATGACTTAGAAGAACCACTAAACCATGCCAAGTAGTTTCAATTAGCTACTCAGTATTTAAATCATTAACGTAAATTTGGACTAAACTCCCTTCCTAAACCAGGCCTAAAATGAGATGGAGAATGCATTTTCAGAAGTTAATCACTATTAAAAAAATGTGTTCCCAAATTTTGGTTTTGCTTTATTATGAGTTGTTCTTTTTTGCCTCTTTTTGCTAAATTTCCTGACATTTCCTTCTCCTTCTCCTAAGGGACCTTCCACAAACTGAAGAAGTTTCCTATGACAAGATAAAGTGACGAATGAGGACATTTCTTCCTAAGATTTCACACAATTGGCTCCCCCCATCCATGATGACTCTTCTTCTGTAAAAATACGGACACAAATACCCAGATTTGTTCTTACATTGATCTCATCAAATCAGCACACAAAAATATACTCCCTCCATTATTCTTACTCACTTGTTTATAGGTCTAAAAATCAAATCAGCCTTTTTTCCTCTCCACAGCATTACTCTGGGAGTTCACACACAGTGTCTCTTCTCTGTGACACACAAATCCTTTTCAGGATCACTAATTTTTCACATTCTGTAAACATGTCTGTATTTCTTTTTCCTAGACCATGGAGTTTGCATTTGCTTGCATTAACCTGGATGGAGCATAATTACAGTAAAATAAATGTAAGGAGGCTAGGTATTAAGGTAAGTGTCAGATAAGGTCACATTTTAATCATTCCGAATTAGAAACTGAACTGAAAGAGATCCCCTGGGTCAAGCTACAATTACATCATATGATTTTTTCCTTAAAACTTCTCTAGCTCTATCCAGAAGATCACTACTAAGTTTTGGACTCCACTAGATAATCCAACTCTGTATTTTATGAAAAAATTTAACTGACACATAACTTCTCCATTTACTACTACATGGAAGGTTTTTTCCTCTATGGAAGACAAACAATTCTGGGCTGCCCGCTAGTGCTTAATTCCCTCTGTAAGTGCATGCTTCAAGTGAGACCTTGGCAAAGGCCAGGTCTCACTTGAAGTGAGTCCATATCATTACTGATAGTTTTTTCAGTGTTTTTTCATTAGAGCCTACAAGCACCTTGATGCCTTTTGGCCTTTTAATGCTCTCCCTCCCTTGCTTGCTGCAGTGGCTTAGTGGCAGAACGGAGCAAGAGTCCCCCAGCTGCTGCTGGGGGATGCAGCAGGTACGACATTACTTCACGACGGTTTCTAAGGATTCTCAAGGGAAGGTGTAATTCTCAATTTGGAAAAGACAAAATTCTTGCTGATGAAAAAACTACTTACTTTGAAAATCACTAACAGTTTTTGTATTTTTAATGGAACACATTAGCATGCTAAAGACTAGACAAATTACAGCTCAGTCTCAGAAAAGCCTGAGAAAATATCACATCCTTGTAGCCTTTAGACTTGATTACTGCATTTCTTTCCTAGCAGAGCTTCTTGCCCCTACAGAGAACCACCAGTGGTATGAGCAGACTCTTTTGCACAGCATTTGCCCCGAATTCTTCGCAGTGGCAAAGTTAATTGATAAACTAATCTGTCCCAAGATCTACTGTGTACAGTTCTTCCTGTAACAATTATGTCTAGTTATACTACGACAACATCAGTTTAAGTACTTTAAGGTTTGTACTAAGTTGCAATTAAATGGGGTAGTGTTTTTGCACACCCTCTGGGATGGACTATTTCTCTAACACAGGGAAGGAGGGAAGGAAGTGGATTCCAACTTTAGGCACAGGCAACAAGACTCTGCAGTCAAGAGAGAGAGAGACAGCGCTACCCATCCTAGAAGCTCTTGCTCTGCATTGTCTTTCCTATCTCAGGAGGTCTGCACCATGCAGTGAAGGAAGCCGTCTCTCTTCCTCTGACGGCAGGACAAGCCTCAGATCGTGCCTTCCAAGTCTGAAGTCAGCTTTTGTGACGACTTCCCAGTTCCCTCTTCTCTTTCAAGCAATACTAAAGGTTGAGGAGAGGCAGTTCTATGAAATATCTGTAGCACTGCTTAAGAAGGATCTTTGGCTTTACAACTAACTTTCAAATTACTGGTGTGCACAAGTATAATATAAAAGCAAGAAATGTTCTGATAATTCTGAGCTGTACTACCAATAAAATGTTGGTTACTGCACATATATAAGGCAAGTTCCTTTATTCCAATATCTCTCTTTGCACTAAATGATAAAGCTTCTTTGATTCCTTGCTGCTGTGACAACTGTCAGAACCTAAATTTAAGTACTGTTTCCGAAGTTTTATCTTGCAACCTAACACTACCGCAATTAATAATTTTTAAAGAACATTGGGAAAGTGTCTGCATTTTTTATTTAACATTACTTCTACATTTAGCTGGTAGTTAAGCCATAACAACAGATGTTCTCCAGGCAAATGCAGAAGAAATTACTGAGAAGTGTTCTAGAAAAGGATATTTTGATTTGCCTCTTGTGCCTAGACGACGGGCCTTCATATTTGGAAAGACATTTTTCATGATCTTTCCAAAGTCAGCAGCACTTAATGGGTGGTAGCCAAGATTGTCACAATAGCTCCTGCAACAAAGAGAAAGAAAGCGTGAATGGAATCAAAGTTAATGCAAGAGACCAGCCTGCATGCTAGACTCCATCTAAGGTTTTCAAAGGAAAACACTTACACCCATCCATATTAAGAACCACATTTAACATTAATGAAGCTATCCACAACGAATTGAATGCATTAAAAATGTATAAACAGAACTATTAATACCATAGTTTTTGCCTTGTTCTCTACTGAGTTCAAAGACAAGTCATATGGAGACATAACAAGTAGTGGCATTATCTAGAGCATAGTTAAGATTTACTCCACAACCTAGTTTGAAGCATATGTTTCAATTCACTTATTTTAGGACATAATAAAAGCAGAGACATTGTTCTAGCCAGAAGCATAGCTTGAGTGTGGTAAGGCCTGAAGTCCTGCAGGAATATTTGAAAAGCAGTAAGAGCTTTGTCAGTGTCCAGAAAAAGATTCTGCCTACATAACCTCAATTTAATAGAGCTTAACAGAACTGAATTTAATAAAACATACCTTCCCAGGGAACCAGCTTCACCTTTATAGGTGTAACAAAGACGTACTGAGGACCTAGTCCTCTTACCACTGTACCACTACTGAACTATGAGAGCTGCTTAATTATATACATCCTTACATTCATTAACAGTCCTAAATCAGAGATTTCAACTGCCTCTGCAAATGTAGATCTTCATGCAACTGAGTATACAACCTGTTGATATAGGGAAGTAAAGCAACAAAGGTAATTATTTTGCTAAGTTTACTTATTCTAGTAAAATGGGCACTGTTATTTGTCTTCAGTTCTCAAAAACAGCAGAAGGAATTCTGTTTCAACATCTATTCAGAAGTTTCAACATCTGAGATATTTTTAAAAAATCTCCTTGAGGCAGAGAACAACAATCTTTGATTTCGCTGCAAAACGTGCATGTTCTGGAAAATCACAAACATGTGAAAGCAGAGGAGAAAACCAGGAACTGCTCTGGAAGGTTCACCTACACAGCAAGTGCTTAAGGCTGCACAAAAGATATGAATGCCATATTGCCTTTTGTTCCAGTCTTGTGGTATTTCACAGATGTTAATGCGCTAAGGCCCAAAACATACTGTTAAAGCATTCTCGTGCAGATTTCCTGCAGTCACAGAGTCAGCACCAGATAGCAATGACCTCTTTTCCCCGTGAGAAGTCCTACCAGCAACACACAAAAACAACCTGCCTCTGAAGAGAAGAGGTGACTGTACATGGTCCTGTGTGGGCATTAGCAGGAGAGCAGAAAAAACAATAATTTCATACACCAGGTTGCCTGCTACTCTACTCAGGTACATACATGCAAACAAATCTCTGCTCATGAAGGAAGGAAGAAAGAAAGAAAAAGCAGCACTCCCGAAACAGGTATTTCATTCCCAGCATCACCTAGTAAAACCAGTAACAATTAGCAGTGGCATTTGCATCCAAGTAGGCCAGTCAAAATGTCTTCTCTGAAAACTGTAGCTCTATAGAAAGCAGTATATATTTCTTGAGATACTTCCACTGCATTTATTTTCTCTGTAAAAATACTAGTTATTACAGAGCAAGTATCTGCTGCTTTTACCTTGCCTGTATGTAGGTATCCTCCATTTGGAAAGCACCACCACAAATGTAGTGATTTTGTTGATGATAAAGAGCAAGTTTTATGCTATTTGGTTCTCACATCTCCCTGCAGAGCTTGTGTGCACCCGCCTCCCCCAGCTACCGGGCCACTCTGTCCAAACCAGGAGACGTTGCCTACAACCTGGTATACAGTCAGCCATTAGTCTACTTTCTGTACGGGACATCAAGAAGGTTTTTATTCAATTTATATACCAACATACTTCATTTCAATGCATGTCAGTCACAGAATCTGGATTCTGGATATGTCCCTTTGAAGTTAACACAAAGGAATACTTCTCCTGCCTCGCTCCACCCTCTTAGGAATCAGACATTGCTTTACATGTAATAGATCTCTGTGCCATTTTTTTCCCTTGCGTCTTGTCAGGCTCCAATGGATTTTAACTCTACTCTGAAAGTTCCTAAAAGGTGGGTCTTTGTCACTTACTGATGCTGATTACAGGACTTTAAGTCTCAACTACCATGCAGAGGAGGGCGCTCTGAATTTCTCTGCTACAGTCAGCAGTATCTTTGACTGAAACTCAACAATGTCAGCAAAGCAAAATAAAAAAAATAACCCAGCAACAACAGGATTAGGGACCTACCAATCAATGAACTTTAAAGTTAAAAATTATTCCCCCCCTAGGAGAAAATAAATAAATAAAGAAGAAGAAAAAAAAATAGTTCCTTAAGTCTAGTACATCTGTTTCAAAACAATTACTTGCTAGCAGCAAAACATACAGTTACATGGTCCCCTCGTATCCATACTGGCAGCTCCTGCAAGCTTGTGATTTCTGAGCTATTATTATTATCACATAATTTCAGTTTTCAGACAGATCATCCCATATGGCCCCTCCTCCTCCTGGCTCAGCCGAGAACCCTCCATGTCCATCTGTGGTCTCTCATTGACTTGACAACACGTACCAGGAGTCTCCTCCCTGAAGCTCTTCTCTGTTACTTGCACTCTTGGCACATCGCTGAGCCCAGGAGCTGTTTTGCTTATTTGAAGGGTGGGTGGGAAATAGATGGGGGGAGGGAAGGCCTATGCAGAGACAGGAATGACAATGGACACATGGTTGCTTACATTCCTTTGTACAGAGCTCCCCTACATGATAAGGAGAAAAAGCCTTTTTTTGGGGGGTAAGATCTTGGAATTAAATGTACTCAAGCCACAAAATACACTGGGCGTGCATCTGAATTAAACTCAAAAAAGATTAACCAAAAAGCCAATGAAAACAGTCAGGCTATGCAGCCCAGCTTACATAGCTTCCTGGGCAGAAAAACCATTATGATAAAGAACCTATTGCATGGAAGGACACAAAGATTTTGGCTCACCCAATCCAGCAAAACAACTGGTCTCTAAAAATAGGTTAGAACAAAGAACCTTAGGAAGAGGTAGGCTCTCATTAAGCTGATGAGCAACGCTGGCACAGAAATGAGTCCTAAAAATCAGGTAGGATGGAAACCAGATGTCTGAAAACCATCAGAGAAATGAAATTGCACGTCAGGCTCCCAAGAGCAGAAGCAGAGGTGGGAAACCACTGCTTTAGATGGAGTATGATCAGCTTTTTAAAAGGAATATATAGGTAGTTGCTTATGACAGAGGACTGGACTTCACAACACAATACGACCCATCCTGTTCTTATCAGGTAGTTTTATATAAAAGTACTGGTTAAGTGCTATCAAACAAGATTAGTATGTATCTTGTGTCTTTTACTTGTTTAACAGACATGGTATTGCTACACCTACTGCCCTCTTCTTTGCTAGCTTCTGAATATTCTTCTTCTAACTTGTTGGTTAATATCCTTAACACTTAGTGCACATAATCTATGCATCACGTGGCATCAAGTGGCCCAGCAGCCAGTAAAGCAAGGATTAATGATTTACAGACTAAAGGAAAGAGATATGGGCTGACTCAAAGACCTCCTAATCTATATCAAGTGTATCAAGTGAATCTTCAGGGCACCAAACTTAAATGACTTTCTTTCCTTGCGTCACTGCAGTAGAAGCAAGATAAGAGGACCCAAGTGTTTACTGAAGGCTCAGCAAATCATTTTGTGGGCAAATAGGGATTTTGTCTGTGTAAGTATTGCAGGACTGCACTTAGACTCGAACTCCCAATTCTCTAAACTCAGCTAAATCTACACCTGGCTGCCTCGAGAAGGGTGTTTACTAATGGGTAGAAGATATGCAAGTAAAACTGACTTACAAGAAAACACTGAAAGGATTTGATGGGAAGCAGCATCTATTCTCTGCAGGCTAGACAACATGTTAGGCAGCTCCCCATGAGTTCCCATATTTTCCAGACTGTATTCCCCCATAACTCCCAGAGGAAGCTGGCAGAAGAACTGTGTGTGCCCAACAGAAACACAGCTTCTTACAGCCCAACATATTCTGTCAGTGCAAGCGGCATCACAGCATCAACAAGAGAGGTGAACCAGCTCCCATCTATCTCCTTTCTGAAATTCAGCTGCAAGCTCTCAACTTTCCCAAGTGCTACTGCCTTATATTATGATGCATTTTTCATTTATTTTATCCCTTTCAAAAGGGAGATGAATCCATTCACTTTTATCCAGTTAGAGACGTGAATTCACAATTAAATAGAAGAGTAAGAAAACAGAAAGAAGAATCACTGTGTTGAATAAGCTCAGCAAGAAAAGGCTACTGAAACGTGGAGGAGCTGGAAACACTATCAACACTCGCCACTGATGGACTTGTGTGGAGTGCAAGCTTCTGTCTTTCCCTCTTCATAAAAAAAAAACCCCACACATGAAAGGTGATGCAGAAGCCCAGTAGTTTTGAAAGATTTATTTTGACCAAAATTTACAGCAG